GCTCAAGCAATCCTCCCACCTCATCCACCCAAGTAGCTGAAACTATAGGCATGCATCACCACACCCATCTAATTTTTAAAAAAATACTTTTTGTAGAGATAGGGTCTTACTATGTTGCTCAGGCTGGTCTTGAACTCCTGGACTTAAGCGATCCTCCTGTCTTGGCCTCCCAAGGTGCTGGGATTACAGGAATGAACCACTGCATCCAACCTAAAGCAACAAACTTTTATTCTCTCATACTGTTTCTGAGGGTCAGGTATTTGGGCACTGCTTAGCTGAGTGGTTCTGGCTGAGTCTCTCAGGAGGTGGCACTCAAGATACCAGCCAGAGTACAGTCATCTGAAAGCTTAACTGGGGACGGAGGGTTTGCTTCCAAATGGATTCACATGGCTGTTAGCAGGGGGTCTCAGTTCCTCGTCACGTGGGCCACCCTGCAGGGCTGCTCACAGTGTGGCAGCTGGCTACCGCCAGACCAAGTGATCAGAGAAAGAAGACACTGAGATGGAAGCGGCAGTGCCTTTTTTTGTGTGTGTGGCCCAGGCTGGAGTGCAGTGGTGATCTCAGCTCACTGCAACCTCCATCTACCGGGTTCAAGCAATTTTCCTGCCTCAGCCTCCCAAGTACCTGGGACTATAGACGCACGCCACCACACCTGGCTAATTTTTTGTATTTTAGTACAGACAAGGTTTCCCCATGTTGGTCAGGCTGGTCTCAAACTCCTGACCTCAAGTGATCCGCCCGCCTTGGCCTCCCAAAGTGCTAGGATTACAGGCGTGAGCCAACGTGCCCTGCCTGCCATGTCTTTTATAACCTGTTCTTGGAAATGGCATACCCTCACCTCTGCTCTGTTCTCTTGGTTACACAGACCAACCCTGACCCAGCTTGTGAGGGGACTACACAAGGTGTGAAAGTCAGGAGGTAGGATTGCTGGGGGCTTGGAGGCTGGCTGCCACACGCAGAAGCGTGTATGAAGCACCATTGGCGTGCCAGGCACAGTGCTAGGCACCTAGCATGCATGATTTAATTCTCATAGTAATCTTATGAAATAGAGTCATTACCCTCATCTTCCAGATGAAACTCAGAGGTAAGTAGTTTGTTGAGAGTTACACAGCCTGAGAGTGGCAGGGGTTGGATTCAGACCTGGGTTGGTGATTAGAGTGTTGTGTTTAAGAAAAAACAGCTTCAAAGGATTGTTCTGTGTGACCTTGAGCATGTTCTCACCCTCTCTGTTCTTTCCATCACCTGCTACCTTAGGCTAGCATTTCTTTTTTTTTTTTCCTGTGAAGTCCTTTTTTTTTGTTTTGGTTTTTTTTTTGTTGTTTTGTTTTTTGTTTTTTTGAAATGGGGGTCTTATCCTGTTGTCCAGGCTGGAGTGCACTGGCATGATCGAGGCTCACTGCAGCCTTGAACTTCTGGGCTCAAAGTGATCCTTCTACCTCAGCCTCCCAAGTAGCTGGGACTACAGGTGTGTGTTACCATACCTAGCTAACTTTGCTGGAGTGCAGGGGTGTGATTTTGGCTCACTGCAACCTCCGCCTCCCAGATTCAAGTGATTCTCCTACCTCAGCCTCCGGACTAGCTGGCATTACAGGCATGCACCATCCTGCCCAGCTAATTTTTGTATTTTTAGTAGAGATGGGGTTTCACCATGTTAGCCTTGAACTCTTGACCTAAGGTGATCCACCTGCGTCGGCCTCCCAAAGTGTTGGGATTAAAGGCGTGAGCCACTGTGCCTGGTCAAATTAAAAAAATTTTTTTTGTAGAGATGGGATCTCATTATGTTGCCAGGCTGGTCTCAAACTCCTGGGCTCAAGTGATCCTCCCATCTTGGCCTCCCAAAGTGCTGGGATTGCAAGTGCGAGCCTCCGTGCCCGGCCTGGACTAGCATTTCTCTGTGGAGTCTGAATCAGGACTTTCTTAGATCCTGGCCCTGTCCTAGACCTGCCGAGTTAGAAATTGCAGTGGGTGGGCCCCTCGCTGCCTTAAACCTATGGGAATAAGATGAAGTGCCTTACCCCAGGGGAGAGCAGGAGGCAAACGTAGGGATGAGGTCGGGATGAAAAAGGTGTGTGGCTGCCACCCAAGGATCTCAAGGATCCCTCTAGCATACGGGGATCCGGTCAAGAAAGGCCTCTGGATTTCCTTGGCACTTCCTTCGGAGCAGGGTCCTGCACCAGCAGTCTGCAGGCCACCCCCACAGGGTGGTTCCGATGCCATCAACTCCAGATGGCAGGCATATGTGACACTGGGACATTACTGAGCTCCTAGTGGGCGTGCAATAAAACCGTCCTCTGGCTGTGGTTTACTGTTTACCTGGGGTCTGGAGGTGCCATAATTAGAAAAAATAACAGGTGAGCTTCAGGGTCGCCCGTGGTGAGCACAAGTCCAGGATAATTACAGTGCACATCCCAGCCCCTGGCCAAAGGCCGAGCTGTTGGCTTATTTTTGCCTTGTGCCAAAGCCAGCTCTGTCTGTACCTGAGACACACACAACAAAAGGAATGGAGAATATTGATGAAGCACAAATGTTTGCCCTGTAACAGCCTCGTGGCAGGACAGTGGGATGGGGAGAGAGTGGGCTCTGGGGTCAGCCAGACCCAAGTGTGCGTGCCAGCTCTGGTGTGCCTTGGCTGAGGCCTTGGGGATGTGGCTTCACAGTGTCATGGTGAAGGCTCCACAGGAGGGGATGTAGGGGTCCCTGGCACCCTGGCCCACTGGCAGCTCAGGATGATGAGACGTGATTGTTATTGGTTACTGATGTGAGTGTCATTACTGTTGCCGACACTAACAGTCATTGTTATGAATATTGTTAGAGTCCTTCTGGACGTGGCTGTGAACAAATTAGGACTGAGGATTCCCAAGCCTGTTTTCTGGTCTGCAAAATGGACACTTGATATTGATATCTATTCAGAGCGTCTCTAGGAGGATTAAATAAAGGAATGAAAGCGAAGTGCCAAGCAAGTGGGAATCAAATCTGAAGCTGTCACCCCTCACCCACCATCCCCAGTCTCTTTTCTCCCCTCTGCCACCCCACAGTGCCTTGACTAGTTTTTGCCTGCCTTCCTTCCCTCCTTCGTTCCTTCATTCCTTCCTTCCTTCCTTCCTTCCTTCTTTCCTTCTTTTCTTTCTTTCTTCTGTCTGTCTTTTCTGACAAGGTCTCGCTTTGTCACCCAGGCTGGAGCACAGTGGCACAATCTCAGCTCACTGCAACCTCTGCTTCCTGGGTTCAAGCAATTCTCCTGCCTCAACCTCCTGAGTAACTAGGATTATAGGTGTGTGCCACCATGCCCGGCTAATTTTGTATTTTTAGTAGAAATGGGGTTTCACCATGTTGGTCAGGCTGGTCTCAAACTCCTGATCTCAGGTGATCCACCCACCTCCCAAAGTGCTGGGATTACAGACATGATCCTCCGTGCCCGGCCTTGACTGCGGTTTTAAAGCAGGATTCAGAGTGTGTTCACTTAGAGGGCCAGGGGATGGGCAGCCTGAATGATAATAGTAACAACAGTAACAGCCTCCGTTATTGAGCAGGAACTGTATGCTAGGCACCTTTTTTTCTTTGTTTGAGACAGGGTCTCTGTCACCCAGGCTGGAATGTAGTGGTGCAGTCTCAGCTCACTGGAGCCTTGACCTCCTTGGGCTCAAGCTATCCTCCCACCTCAGCCTCTCAAATAGCTGGGACTACAGGTGTGCACCACCATGCCTGCCTAATTTTTTTTTTCTTTCTGTAGAAATGGGGTCTGCCCATGTTGTTCAGGCTGGTCTCGAGCTCCTGGGCTCCAGTGATCCTCCCACCTCGGCCTCCCAACATGTTGGGATTACAGGCCTGAGCCATTGCAGCTGGCTACTAGGCATCTTAATGTACTACTGCCTCGGTAAATCTCAGCAGCTGTGGGATCCATATTTTATAGCTAAGGATAGATCCACAGAGATGAAATGACTTCCCAGGGGTCACCCAGCTTATAAGCGGCAGAGCTGGAATTCAGATGTGACCCATGTGGCCCAGAGGTTGTCCCACTAGCCTTGCCCGCTGCCCCTTGGCCACGAGGAGCCAGCACTGTCACCCCGGAGCCAATGCTCCCGGGATCCAGCAGATGCCTTTGCAGCCATGCATCTGGTCCCTGGGAGTGGGTGGATGGCACCACCTGTGTTTCTGGCAGGGAGTGAGGCCGGATGGTTCTGTGTTCCGGACGGGACCTCGCTCACACTCTGCTGTGCGTGCCACCCTCAGAGGATGGGGATGAATCACAGCAGAGGGGGCCAGCTTAGTCAGCACCCCATGCTGGTGTCTGGGCGCTGTTTAGAGACACTCCAGCTGTCTCCTCTCTCCCCTGTCCCTGACCCCCGCCTCGGCTGCCAAGTACGGTGGTGCAGGTTGCACCTTGTGCAAGGGCACCTGGCTGAGGGGGGAGCTGGAGCTGAACTCCAGCCAGCATTCTGCTTGCCAAGTTGTGTGTCTGGCAGTGCACTGCATGTGTCCAGAGGATTCTGCAAGTTGAACCCTATCCTAACATGGGCAAAGGCATCAGAACGGGAGGCATTTGGTTCAGGAGCTCTAGAATTTTACACCTGAGCGAGGTCATCTTGTTGAAGGCCAGCCTCTGTCTAGGAACGTGGCCTCAGTCACATGCCTATGGGGACAGACCTGTGAAGTAGGTGGAATGTGTGCCCCCTTACCCCAGTGCCATCCCTGGGCAGTGGGGGATCTGCACAGCTGGTTCTTTTTTGTTTTGCTGTTTTTTTTGTTTTTTGTTTTTTGTTTTTTGCTTTTCTTGGGAGGGAGTCTCGCTCTGTCACCCAGGCTGGAGTGCAGTGGTGCGATCTCGGCTCACTGCAACCTCTGTCAGCCTCCTGGATTCAAGTGATTCTCCTGCCTCAGCCTCCCGAGTAGCTGGGATTACAGGTGTGTGCCACCAC